AATTCTGCCTATCGCAAGTCTCCATCAAAGGCATTTTCTTTCCCCCAAACAGAGCAGCCTCAAGCCTGAACATAACCAACTCCCAGGACCCTCCTACTTATGATGGAGGATATGCTAGACATTTCACAAGGTATAGATTCTCACTGCAGCCTCTTCCTGACTCATTTCGAGTCACCTCAGACAATTTGTTTTCTTTCTATGAGCTTTGGTTTCTCCGTTTAGAAAAAAAGTAGTGAGTTGGAATAATATAACTTCCTTCAGTATTTACCCTGAGTTCCTGCTATAAAGGCACTACTCATTAGAAGGGAATGCTGAGGGAGAGAACAGACTCCCCTTTTGCAGTAAGGGAGGCCAAGTAGGAGCATACAGGCATGCGCCACCATAGCTCCTGAGAACGGCAGCAGGATGGGACAGAAGGCAGGAGAGAGTCCTCCACTGAGCTGAACTGGAAATGCCCGATTGTTGTCTTCTTCCTGCTTTGCCACTGATGCCTGTAGCAGCTGATCAGGAAGGTATCAGATGCCTCCACTGGTTGTCACCAACACCTGCCTCCTGAATCCTGATCGGGGAGATGGTGTCATCAGGTCCTCCAAATAAAATATTTAGTGGCCCTTGCTTCCCAAAGAAGCAAGCATGGCCTCTCCTTGGCAGCAGGGATGCTCTGAGTAAGGCATCCCAGAAGGCTCTGCTGTTAAGGTGAGAGCCCCAGAGGAGCATGCCCTGGGCTGAGAATTGGGGTGAGGGAGAGGGAAATGGGTAGGAGAAGAAAGTCTAGGCAAGTTTTGGTTTTTAAGAATGCATGTGACAAATGGCTTCCTAAACCAGACAGAGAGAGATGTGACAGAAAGAAGGACATACCACAATTAAGAGAAAACTCCTGAGCGCGACACTCACAGAAAGTTGGAGTTAGGAGGAAGTACTAGGGTATAGTTATAGGCATATGTTCACTGGCTTCTACCAAACTTAGAAAATTTGTTCTAAGACAGATCACAGGATAGATGGAAGTGAGCAGCTGAAAATTTTTTTTTCCACAGAGTCTCACTCTGTCACCCAGATTGAAGTGCAGTGGCTCAATCACAGTTTACTACAGCCTCAACCTTCTGGGCTCAGGTGATCCTTCCACCTAAGCCTCCCACATAGCTGGGACTACAGGCGCCCCCACCATGCCCAGCTGATTTTTTTTTTTTCTTTTTGTAGAGACTGTCTTGCTATGTTGCCCAGGCTGGTCTTGAATTCCTGGGCTCAAGCAGTCCTGGGCTCAAGCACTCCTCCGCGAGTGCTGGGATTACAGGCATGAGCCACCACACCCTGCCTGGAAATACTGACAAATAAATTGCTACTAATAAAGGTTAATGTATCTTGAACACTTAAAATGGACCAACTGTTGTTCTAAGTGCCTTATATGTATTAACTAGTTTCATCATAATAATCCTACGAGGAAGATACTAGCACTATACCCATTTTATATAGATAGTGAGATAGTATCCCAGAATGGTTAAATTCCTTAACCAAGTGTGCACAGCTGTATATACCCTGCTTGTCTCTGAGAACCTAAATTCAGAGCTCATATGTTTAATCATTATACTACACTGCCTCTCAGTAGAGGCACAGAGGTGGGTTCCCTTCCCCCTTACTCTGAATGTGGATAGGAGGCCTGGTCCTTATTCAGTAGGCTCTGCTTTGGGAAAGCTACTTAGTCACATCAATATTGGCATAGAAAGACAGAAGCTCTCAACTTGCCCTTGAAGTCAGCTATCCTGATGAAGTCTACACTCCCAAAGTTAAGTGCAGACCTCTCCTTCACCCCTCACTGCAGAAGACCATGCTTCCTCTTGACTCCAGTGTCCAATAACAGCTGCTCCCAGTGGGTGGACCCTGAGCGCCCCCCACCCCACATGAATTCACTTGGCTGCATACCAGGAGCATTGTGTCCCAGAGCAGATGCTGCTTGAGGGTGAGAGGAAAACAGCCCAACTGGAGTAGTCTGTTGAGAAGTCCTGGACTGATCAGCCTCCTCAGCTCAGATAAAAGGTCCCAGCTGCTGTTGGCTTCACAGACTCTAGGAACTGAAAAAAAACCAAGCCTCAAAGTATGATTTTATCTGAAAGAAATAATCTTACAGATTGACTATTTCAAATACCTTTTGTTTTAAGATCAAGAAATAGACTCAGGATGCTAATCTGATGTCATGAGTGGCATGGACAGAATTTGAACTCAGGGCTCCTGAGTCCCATAACCTTCCTTCTGCCTCATGACCCCATGCCTTAGCCATCAGACCAGTTTTCTCATTGTCAGTTCAGGTGGTGTATCCTACACTTCCACCAGCCTCTATGCAGTCTATGGATAGCCTATTGGGACTTGTGCAGTAGTATGACAGAGAGGATCACTTTGGATCTATTCCTTTTCCCCTGCTACATGCTTCCCAGACTCCTACAGAATCAGGGAGGGCTAGTGATCAAAGGTTCACCCACAATGTTCATCTCATGAAAAGGAAGAATATAGGCAAAAAGAGAAGTCAGAAGCTCTGGAGGGAATTATGAAGTACTATTTCTTGGGGGTCTTCAATGATAATAATAAGAAACTAACATAACTAATTTAATTGCACACTGCATGCCTGCAACCATGCTAAGAGGTTTCACCTCATTACCTCATTTATTATGACAACCTGAGAAGTAGGTACTATAGTTTTCCCTATTTTACCAGAAGGGAGATGAGACTTGACTTGCCCAAGATCCCAAAGTTTTTCCCAAATTCCGCCTACAACAAAAGCCACTCCCTACTCAAACTGTCTTGGGAGGATACCCAGCAGGATGGCGAGATCGTTGACTGTAACCTCACACCATGTCCTTTGATGTTATCTTTGCTACCAGGATGCCCTTCCTCTATCCACAAGCTAAACACATATGTGCATGTATGTTGTAGAGAAAGCAGGAGTATAATATCTACAACTTCAGTGTGATTGTATTCAGAGGACACTTTCTAAAGTACAGACCTCAAGCACAGCATGGTGACAACCATACTCCTCCTCATGGTTTCTTGTGGGACACACCGCTCTCTACCTGTGGCCCAAGGAGCTTTCCTACCAGGAGAGGGACATGCAGAGAATGGTCTCTTGCAGTTCCCTGTCCAGCTGGAGAATTTAAGGATTCTGTTATTTCCTTTCTATGGCTCCTCTTCAGGAATTCACGTCCTGCTACCGGCCTCAGGACATGGCTAAAAATAACCTCTGGTTTTCAAACTGAAAGCCCGATTTGTTGGGAGGCTTTGCTGGTGTACACATGGGGCCGGAAGGGCTGTGTCGGTGTGGCTGAGGTCTGCGTCAGCCTCACGCCGCTGTTGCCTTCCTCTTTCCAAGGAAGCCTGGGGCCTCCTGAGTCACCCTAGAACACCCTGCTAGAGCCTGGTTGGAGGAGAGGAGTCAGGTGGAACCCACCCTGGCTCCATGGTGGCTGCCAAGCCAAGGATGCAGAGTTGAAGAGGAGGAAGGGGAGTTTCTAAAGATACAAATAAAAAACGAGGGGATTCTCAAGGTGATGTCTGCTCCAATTATAATCCAGACCAGCCAGAATGGGGTGCAGAGGGGGATAGACAGGCCTCTCCTAAGCTACCTTGGAGCAAATCCTCCATGCCTAGAGTCCTGTCAGGACTTGCCTGAGAAGGTTGCCTGATGATCTGTCCAGCTAGAGAAAGATTTATCTGCTGGACAACTTACTGCCTCCTCCTCCTGGTGCTGTTGCCACCACCCACTATCCCTCACCATAAGTCAAGACAGTGCCACAACAGTTACAGGACAGGTCCTGCTCTCTGACCTCCTGCCCTTTGGCCCAGGAGTCTCTACAGGCTCTCCTCAGGAATCCCACCTTGACCCTTTAGGCAGCTTCCTTGGAATACAGAAGAGTGACCACGAAGCCCCCTGCAACAGAAGAGCTTTAGAACCTAAGAATCGGGAGGAAAGGAGACTGACTGACTTTGAGCATGGCTGCCTGAGGCCTAGGGTTGATTACATGGATGCTGAGACAGTCAGAAGGCCCCATCAGGGCATCCCACCTCACCAACTGTTGCTGCTCCCCACGTTTTCCCAAAGCCAGCAATCATGCCCCAGGTGACTGAAGCTGAACTCAAATAACCAGTCTCCCTTGTCAAGGAGACCTACTCTCTGTGTTTCCCAACTCCCTATGTTGAGGGTGTGAAAGCAAATTCCTCAGGACCCGGCAACCTGGCTCACTGGGGAGGCAGCAGCTGAGCATTCACCTGTGAATGGGATGGGGGTCATCAGTCCATCACCTAGGGGCTCTTCGGGCTCCTGAATGGCACATGTGGGAATCCCAGTCCTGCCAAAGCTATTTCACTTTTCTAGCAAGTTCTAACAGCTAAGGATCAGGGGTACTTTCTTCTGCAGAAGAAGTGACTGAGGGTCAGAAGGAGCACTCTTGTTCAGGGTGGCCAACTCCCATCCATCCTATGTATCACAGAGAGAGAAAGTAAAGAGGTACAGCCATGTGAGATGATAGAAATCTGACATAGGAAGGAATTTTATTGCTATATCAGACTCTGGGAGTAGTCAGCCTGGAGAGCCTAGGGGAGGACCTTCCTAACAAGCCTTTTAAAAACAGGACAGATTTCCACTGGACTGAGGCAAGACGTGCTGGTTGGGTGGGGAGGACTGGCTTTAGTCCTGACATCGGATTGACTGACTGAGTGAACTTAAACAGTCTTTTAACCTCTCTGAGAGATAAAAAACGATGTCTTAAGAGGACAGAAATAGAGATGCTTTGTAAAGTTAAAAAAAAAGTATTTTACAGCGTAAAGACTGGAGACCAAAATAGATAAGAGGATTCCCTGAACATCCCTAAGAGGAGAAAGTGTGTTAAAAATAGAAAAACCGAAATGCTGAAGGAATAAACTCACAGAGCTAAGCCAGGATGGGGACCCTGGGTCAAGTGATTTTGTTCACCCCTCCTGGGATTTAATTTGAGTCTGACCACTCTGCCTTGTGTTTTCCAGAACCATGTGAGGGCCAACCGAGGAAGGTGGAGTAGATGAGCACACAGGGGAGCCTGCTCCTCACCCCCGCATCCCTCAGGATGGAACAGAGGCGACTCTGCACCCGGGCCCTGGAGGTTGACAGCCAATCTGTGGTCCTGCTCTTGGTGGTCTGGGTGCTGCTGGCCTCTCCGGCAGCTAGCATGCCTCAGTTTAGCACCTTCCACTCTGAGACCCGTGACTGGACCTTCAATCACTTGACTGTCCACCAAGGGACAGGGGCCGTCTATGTGGGGGCCATCAACCGGGTCTATAAGCTGACGGGCAACCTGACTATTCAGGTGGCTCATAAGACAGGGCCAGAGGAGGACAACAAGTCTTGTTACCCACCCCTCATCGTGCAGCCCTGCAGTGAGGTGCTCACCCTCACCAACAACGTCAACAAGCTGCTGATCATCGACTACTCTGAGAACCGCCTGCTGGCCTGTGGGAGCCTCTACCAGGGTGTCTGCAAGCTGCTGCGACTGGATGACCTCTTCATCCTGGTTGAGCCATCCCACAAGAAGGAGCACTACCTTTCCAGTGTCAACAAGACAGGAACAATGTATGGGGTGATTGTGCGCTCTGAGGGCGAGGATGGCAAGCTCTTCATTGGTACTGCCGTGGATGGGAAGCAGGATTACTTCCCAACTCTGTCCAGTCGGAAGCTGCCCCGAGACCCTGAGTCTTCAGCCATGCTTGACTATGAGCTACACAGCGACTTTGTCTCCTCTCTCATCAAGATCCCCTCGGACACTCTGGCCCTAGTCTCCCATTTTGATATTTTCTACATCTATGGCTTTGCCAGTGGGGGTTTTGTCTATTTTCTCACTGTCCAGCCCGAGACTCCCGAGGGTGTGGCCATCAACTCTGCTGGAGACCTCTTCTACACCTCACGCATCGTGCGCCTCTGCAAGGATGACCCCAAGTTCCACTCTTATGTGTCCCTACCCTTTGGCTGCACCCGGGCTGGGGTGGAATACCGCCTCCTGCAGGCTGCGTACCTAGCCAAACCTGGGGACTCTCTGGCACAGGCCTTCAATATCAGCAGCCAGGATGATGTGCTTTTCGCCATCTTCTCCAAAGGACAGAAGCAATATCACCACCCGCCCGATGACTCTGCCCTATGTGCCTTCCCCATCCGGGCCATCAACTTGCAGATCAAGGAGCGCCTGCAGTCCTGCTACCAGGGTGAAGGCAACCTGGAGCTCAACTGGCTGCTGGGGAAGGATGTCCAGTGCACCAAGGCGGTAAGAAGCACATATCTTGCTCTACCTCTACTCCATGAGACGCAGGTTCCAATCTTCCCATCCATGTGCTCAGACACAATGCTCCCAGGTCCTGAAATGAGAGAGGTTTGCAGGCTCATGATGTCGGATAGTAACCAATAACACAGAATCTTACATACACCAGATGCTTGGGCCATGCTGTTTGATGCATTAAATCATTCCAAATATATGTGTTGAGTGTCTAGATCACACCAGGCATTACTGTAAGTGCTATAGGCTTTAGCAGTGAAACATGCAAACATACAAAGCTCCCTGCCTTCATGGAGCCTGGATACTAATGAGGAGAGATAAACGAGCACATAACACATGTAGCCTGTCAATTGGTGATAATTGCTACAGGGAAAAAATAAGGCAGGGAAAGGGGAGAGGCAGTAACCCAGCAAAGACTGAGGATGGAAAGAAAGGGAGCCCTGTAGATATCTGAGGAAATTGTTCCAGAGGGATTAGCAGGTGCAGAGAATTCAGGGTATTCCTGGAGCATCTGAAGAATGGCAAGGAGACCATGGCAGCCAGATAAGAGAATGTGAGAGACAGTGCAGTAAGTGATGAGGTCAGACAGAGGTCACAGGGACCAGGTCAGGTACATGCAGAGCCATGGGCCACTGTGATGCCAAGTGAAGAATTCTAGTAGGTATTGGATATCTAAATCAGAGGCGAGAGAAAGGCGTTAAGCTTGACTGACTGATTGAAAACTGGAGAAGAACAGGAGTGTGGGCAAAGACAAAAAAGGAGAAGAGCTCAGAATTCAGACCTGAGGACAACAGAGATGAGAAAATCAGTAGCAAGCACCATCCTGCCAGAAGGTCAGGACGCTGCCATCAAAGTGTTCACCATGATCCACTCATGCTTCCACCCATTCAACCATCCATCTATCCACTCATCCCTCCATCTGTTCACCCCCTCTCCATCCCTTCCTTCATCCTCCTATTCGTTCCACCAGCCCTCCATTCATCCATCTATCGGCCCATCCATCCACTCATTCCTCCATCGATCTGTTCCTTTTCCCTCCCTACATTCTTCCCTCCATCCAGCTCTTCGGCCATCCATATTTTCTCCTTTCCTCTTTCCCTCTACCTGTCCATCAATCCACCCATCCCTCCATCCAACCTCCTTCTTGCCTCCCTCTCTTGATCTCTTCCTCCATTTCTTTGTCCATACATCATCCATTTGTCTACTTGACCTTCTTCCTTTATCCATCCGTCATCCATCCATCCACCCATTCCTCCATTCATTTAACAAATGGGTTTTGAAAGTCTTCTGAGTGCCTGGCCCTGTACTAGGCACTGAAATTGCATACATTAAAAATACATGATCACTACTCTCAAAGGTATTATAATCTAGTGGGGAGGAGAGAGAGAGAAGGAAAAAAATACAACTGACAACATAATGTAGTGGTTAAGAGTTTGGGCTTCTGAGAGGCATCAAATTCTATCTGTGCTACTACCTGGCTTCAGAAGCAACTTAACGCCTCTACACTCTCATTTGTGAAATGAGAATCCCAATGCCTTCTTCGCAGGATAATCAGATGAAATAATATACACAGAGATCAGCACCGTGCCTGGAAAAGTTGGGTTCACCATGTTAACTGTTAGGGAGTGTGATAAGGGCTAAAGTAGGTTTCTATACACAGCACTGTGGGCTTTGCATCTGCATCTGGAAAAAAAAAAAGGAGACCAAGAAGCCCATGTGGTTACTTTCTGAATACCCTAAATTGAGGATGCCAGTCACTGGAACAAAAAAGCCACTTCTCAAAACAAGAAAACGAATTATTCCTAGACTATGCTTCTATTCCCATGATCATTTTCTTGGTGTGATAGGATAGTGGTTAAGACAATAGGCTTTGAAGCCAAACAAACTGGGATTAAAAATCAGTTCTACCACTTACTCCTTGTGTGGGCAAGCTTTATACCTGGTCTGAGCCATTCATTTTTCATCTTTAGAATGGTGATAGTATTATCTTCTGCTCATGGTCATTATGAGGATCAAATAGAAAATGTACATAAAATGCTTAGCAAAATACATGATAAGCATTCAGTAAATGGGCAGCTGTGAATATTAATATTAATCACAGTCACAGTCAGTTGTTCTTCTTAATTATCTTACTTTGATAAAATTAAGAAACTGGACTAGATAATCTCCAATGTTTTTCAGCACTGAAATTCAATGGCCAATGGTCCTGACCAATGGGGAGAAGTGAACAGGGAAGGTAAGGGTTAATCCCTTGCAGAGTCCAGCCTGTTTCCCACAACCCAGAGGGCCTTGTCAGGAGGAAACTGCTGATTCCTGCCTGCTTATGAGCCAAAGGAAAGAGGAAGATGACACCCTTCTCTGCTTCAGCGTCAATGCAGAGAAACAAGCCTGGGCTAGTAACCGAAGAACAGTACTGGCACTGGGAGAAAGGTGACAGCAGGTAGGGCTAGGACCTCAGAGTGAAGAGCCCCTTGTCCTCCATCCCCTTAGTACCGTACCCTTCTGGTTCAGGGGACTGCAATGGAAAGGGCCCTTAAAGATCCCTATGGTCCAAAGGACCCAGACCTGGGGACCCAGAGACATTTTGGTGACCTTAAAGAGGATTAAGGATCAATGAGAGAAGCTTTGGTCCCAGAGCTTGATTTTAACATGACTCTGGAATAACATGGGCATTTTAGAACAAGGATTTGAACTTTGACCTCAGAAAAGAGGTGGGGAAGGGGACGATCACTCATTGAATAACACCTCTGTACTAAAGGTTATGCTTAGCAATTTAAATGTTATCTCATTTGCCCCTCACAATGACACTATAAAGCAAGAATTATTATCCCCATTTTACATATGGAAAAACAAAGGCTCACAAAGACTAAGCAAATTGCTTAAATTCCTGTAGCTACTAGCAGTAAAGTATGGATTTTAATTCAGTTCACCCATAGGACTTCTGAGACCAAGCTTTTTCTGTTTAGCAACGCTGCCTCTAAGGAAAGCCCTACACCAAGCTTTTGCCATTCAAGCAAAAGCAAAAGGACATCAGGTGTTTTGGAGTATCTGGCAATGTACTGAAAAAGGGCTTGAAGAGAAAAAGAAATTCCAGCCAGAGCAAACCATTTCCTTTACAGTTCTCCAGATTCTAGAATCTGGAAGAATGTAGTAAAATCTGTAATTACCACCAAGGCTTTGCTTCTGTCATCATTTCTCCAAAACTAGCTTGGGCTATACCTGTGCCTAGAGTCTACAGCCTTACCAGAAAGTGGAAGAGAAACTTAAGCCATGAAATCAAGGAAATTTCAGAGCTGAAGGGAAGCTTGATCTGGTTCAATCCCTTTACTTTACAGATGAGAAAGACATACTGAATCAGAGTACATGATATATCAGGGTCGCACAGCTGGTTAACAGTAGAGAAAGGACTAAAATTTATTTATTTGTTTGTTTTATTTTTTGGAGTTGGAGTCTCACTCTTGTTGCCCAGGCTGGAGTGCAGTGGCACACTCATAGCCACCGCAGTCTCAACCTGTTGGGCTTAGGCAATCCTTCTGCCTCAGCCTTTCTAGTAGCTGGAACTACCAACGCACACCACCACGCCCAGCTATAGGACTAAAATTTAAATCACCTGAGTCTAAATAGAGCGGCTTCTGCCTAAGGATGGGAAGAGAAGAGAAGTACAGAATGAAAACCTTAGAAGCTGATTACTCTGACCTGCCTTTCTGGGGAGCCAGAAATTCCCATCATTGGCTCCACTGATGTGCTTGCAAATGTTAAATAACAGGCTCCATGCAGGCAAGGGATGGAGGGAAAAGCCCTAGTTTGTAGCATTGATCTATTCTCATGATATAAATCTTCCTACCATGGCTGATTTTAAGCACCAACATGATGTCACCAAATGCAGATATGTACACAGCCGTCTCCCATGAGCTGGCTCTAGCACACACCACTGCTTTATGCCTTCCTATGAAGCTCATTCCTTCTGTTATGAGGGACTCCATATTATCCAGAGTTTAGGGATCATCCTTAACCTAAAAATTGGTTTTCTTTCCTAAAGAATATACACATATAAATGTAGCACTATCACTCCCACCAGTAGCAAGAGCAGCAGTTCTCTACAACACCCTGAGAAATCACAAGAAATGAGTCTCTATTCCCTTTGGGACTGAGAAGGATATAGAAGGGAGTTTCTGGTTGTTGTTTTTTTTTTTTAAACACCTCACATGTCATAACTTATAAACCAATTATTCCAAAGAAATGAAGCTGTCAGCAAGCCATGATGTGTCAACCTGCTCTTCCCTCGTGAGAGTGAGAAGAGGAGGTTGAAGGGAACAGAGGACAGGCTTCTCTCTGATGCTTTCTGTGCTTCCTACAACGGCCATTTCCTTCCTCCTCTGGGGTGCCTTTCCAGACCCAGAAAAATAGCTGCCACAGGACGCAGGGCTCTTTCAGGCCCAGAGTTTGCAGCCGTCACCATAGGATTCCATATTGCACAATCAACTGGGGTATCTCAGAGCTCCCATTATGGCCCAGCCCTGTGATAGGCACTGTGTGGAGAATGCAAACCACTCAGCAGCCCTGCCTCAGAAAGTATATAGTCATCTGTTTCTTTCTTTCTTTTTCTTTTTCTTTCTTTCTTTCTTTCTTTCCTTTTTCTTTCTTTCTTTCTTCATTCCTTCCTTCCTTCCTTTTCTTCTTTCTTTCTCTCTCTCTCTCTCTTTCTTTTCTTCTCTGAATAAGATCTTAGAAGTCATCAATTTAGCATCCCTTTTAACAGCCCCAAAAGAGGACTCTGCTGGTCAAAGTTTACATAGCTCATTAGCAGCATTATAGAGGGTGTGACCCAGGTCTTCCTACTTTCTGTCCAACAATTTCTTTCATTTGCTCAAGGTGATCTTTCAAAAGTGCCCCTGTCTCTCCTGACAGATACACCCTACAGGCACACCATCATTCTCTTCAAAAGCTGGGAATAAGAAGGACATCATCTTCAGAATTCTCTCTTACTTATGTTTACCTAAACATTGTTGAAGACCTGTAGCATACAATAGTGGAAATAGTTGGACAATTCAACAACTCTGTTTTATTTGCATTATTTCATTTACTCCTCCATAATTTTGTCAGAAAGCTGGGCAAGTATTATTCCAAATGAAGAAACTGAAGCATATGTGGATTAACTAACTCTTCTAAAGTATAAAGTACTGTCTAATATTATTATGACACTTTCAACCTATTTCCAGTGTGGCAGATAGGAGTGAACAGTTGAATGGCTTAAAATACCTTGTGCCCAAAGGAAGAACAAGAAACAAACAAGAAGCCCTCTCCAGGCTGGTAGAAATCCTGTGATATTGTCTCTAGACTGAATATCCATGAAACATACCCTTATCTGAAATAGAAAGATCCCCACAGAATGACATGGTCCATAGAGACATTAAAATGAGTAGAAAATGAGTTCAAGCAATTAGCTTTACAAATTGACCCTGGTTCTCCCTGCCTAAAGGTGGACACAGGTGACTCCAGGTGAGTTGAGGGAAGCTGTTCGTGTCTTTATCTGGTTTCGTAGGAGCCGATGCAAGAATTGTGGGTCAGTTGGTGAGTTTTGTCTGTAGCCTGGATTAGACTGCTGAGCCCCATGTCTGTGCCTCTCCGAGGCCTGGTGTCCTAGGGCTGGCGGTTGGGGGTATGGGTTATGTGGAGTGACTCCACCATCTCTCCACTGCTATTTACCCCAATCCCCTCCCCCTTCTTTCCAGCCTGTCCCCATCGATGATAATTTCTGTGGACTGGACATCAACCAGCCTCTTGGAGGCTCAACTCCTGTGGAGGGCCTGACCCTCTATACCACCAGCCGGGATCGCATGACCTCTGTAGCCTCCTACGTTTACAACGGCTACAGTGTGGTTTTTGTGGGGACTAAGAGCGGCAAGCTGAAAAAGGTAAGAGTCTGTGACCTCAGATGCCCAATGCCATTCAGCTTCTCAGCTGAAGGTGCCTTCTTGAAAGTACTTGTTGGTGAAGATTTAACTATAGGCAACTCATCATTTTATTTGAGAACAAGAATGAAATGCGGAAGTGGAAAGGGGTTAATTCTGTGGTATATCTTCTAGCTGCTTCCACCAGCCATCAGTCAATTGTAGGCATATTTCAGTGTTGCCCAATCTTTAGGAAATTAGGAAGATACATCTACATCAGGTGAAAAAAAATTTAAAAAAACAAAAACACTTTTCATTCCCATTCCCAAATCAAGTAAAACTGATTTTTTTCAATTATTTACATTATATGTCTCCACATCGCAACTCCCTTCCTAGGATCTGCAGAGTTGATTGTACGGGTCTTTGTTGAATCCAGAGAGGTTGATTGAAGCAGATTACAGGTCCCAATTCTAAGAACCTGTGGCAGATGGTGGTACAGGTGATGCTATCTGATGGTATATGGTGCCCAAGTAAAAGGCCATTCTCTTGCCTTTCCTCTTCCTGCAGTCCCAGACTCTTCCTCCCCACCTCCTCATCCACATGTGAGCTGCCAGGAGGAAGCAAACATTTTATCCCATACTTCCCTGGGCACCTCTGCCAGCTGAAGGGAACAGGCTGTCTGGGGCTGGCAGCCCAAGAGGCCTCTGGGGCTGCAGGCTGAAACCAACAGCATGTACCTGCTTGTCTGGTGCTTAAGGTGTGGAAGAGGGAGTACAGTTTGGTTCATTATGTGGGATTATAGCAGCCACATTCTTTCCGGTCCCAGCTAATCCCCTTTTCCCAAGCTTACCCTCCTGCCACCTTTCTCTAGACCCAGCACCTGTGGAACAAGGCGCATGCAAAGACGGCAGTATCTCCCCTTTGATGTTAACATCACCCTGGAGCTCTTTCCTCCTAATCCATTTAGAGCCTTGGGAGGGATGTTGTTTGGGAATGTGTAAGGAGAGTAGCCTGGAGGGAGCCCGAGGAAGAATTTCCACGTTCAATGTGTTCCCAGTAACTGCCAAGAAGTGAGGCAAACTGGTCTGAATTTACCTGGAAGTGCTAAATCTTCCAGACCTCTCTGGTTCTCATGATACCAAAGCCACTTAACCATTTCCTCACTCTCTGTAGAGGTTCCTATATGGCTCTGTCTTTGTCCTCCATTCTTCCTGGGACTAAGGACCCTAGCTTGGCTTTTCAGCATGTAGAAGAGAGAAAGAATATGGTCCCTGCATTTGCTTTTCCCAAGTGGGAGAAGAAGAAGCTTCTCTATGGTTTTCCACTAAGATATAATAGTGGCATTTTCTACCAAGATGGAGTTCAGCATGGACCCCTGAGGCTGGCTACTTTCTTGTTCAGCCAGGGTCACCATATCCAGTTGGGCAAATTGTGCCTGGCACAGGAGTATTGGGCCAAGGAGCCTAGTGGGGGCTGAAATTCATCTTGAGGTCTCTTTGTTATACCATGTAGCCTGAGGTATAGACATCTGTACAGTGGGGCTCCTGTCACTAATGCATCTGCCCATAGGGACCAACTTTCTCTAAATTGCCCAAAGGCTTTCTGAGAGCTGCATAACTAGGCTGGTCTCAGCATCTTCCCCTTTTCCTCTCCCCTTCCTTCAGTCACTGCTCCAGATCATTTGTGTAACTCTCCATTTGTCTCCTTTATTGTCTTGAAAGTTCTCTGAAAGGCAGGGGTGATGTTTTATGCAAATGTATTTCCTTTCTCTTCCTCAATCCCTCCCCCAAGTGTTCCCTCATTGGATAGGCCCCAATGCTGTTTTGAAAAATAGAACCACTCTCTAAGGAACCTTAGAGATCATCTGGCCCAATACTGTCATTATTCTGCAGGGAAACTGAGACCCAAAGAAGAAAAGTGACTTGCCTAAGCATAGAAATCTAGGACATGTTGCTCCTTGCCCTGACACCCAACTTGGCACCCTTTTTACTTAAAGAAACAGCTATGAAGCTCAGGGATAGAGGCTGAGAACAATCTTCGGGTCCAGACTTGCTACAGAGGTCAGCCAGGGGCTAGTGCCTTCACTCTCTTCAATCCTAGATGTGAATTAAGGACTCAGTATTTGCTGAATGGGTGCTTGAGGAATGAATAAAGGTAGAGTGACCCAGCTATACACAAGGGCACCTCGAGATGACTTTCCTCATCTCTCCATGCATGGTGCACAGCACACACAGGGGTCTGCTTGACATCTTTCCAAGCCACACACCCCCGAGCTGGCCAAGTTCTCCTGGCCCTATTGAAACCCTGGCAGACAAGCCACTGTGGAGGCAAGTCAGCAGGTTCAATGGCAAGCCTGGGGGGGGGGGGCGGTGGCTGCCCACAGCTTGTTCTGACCTGAGAGTTGGCTGCTCCTTCTCACTCTTTACTTGGCCTTCTCTGGCTGTTTCTATGAGCTCAAAGCACTGCTCCTTCCTCCTCTGTGCAACTGACCCTTCCTTTCCAGCCACCCTCCTTTGAGGCACCTGACATTCACACCCAGGCTCCGGCTGGCCTCCCATTTACCCACCACTTACCCTCACCCCTCTCCAGAGAAATAGCTCATGAAGAATTTATGGAATGTCCCCAGGAAACCCTACTGTGGTCCAGGCTCCATAGCTCTTTCAACACAGGAAGGAAAATACAGGAAAAAAAAAATAGCTAAGAGTTTGGAGAGGGAAGGGAAGCCTGGTGTGTCAGAACGACTCACTTCTTCCCTGTCTGGCCAGGCGTCTGTCAGACTGTCCAGCCCTCATCCACTGTGGCCTGTAGGAACAGGATGTCCCTGTGTGTAAGTTTAGAGGAAGCAAAATCTTACTAGACGTGGCATAACCATGTCACATACTTGCTCATACATCACTCTCTGCAAAACAAAACGGTACACCATAGACAAGGTCACTGCCTTCTGAGCCACAAACATATGGGGAAAACAGGCAGAATAAGGATAAGACCTCAAAGCCAACATGTGCAATACTTGCATATGCTAAGGGTCAGTACATCGCAGATGATAAGAAGACAGGCCAAAATTCACCATGAGGGTAGAACAATTCAGGCAAAACCAGCAACTATAGTTCAATCAATCTGCAAGGTTTTATTGACAAGGAACTACCAGGGTCTGCTTAAAGACTGGATGTGGCAGATGAGCTGATGAGTTGAGGGTGAGAGAGAAGGGCATTCTAGACCTTGGGTGCCACACTGAGAAAGTACAAAGCAGTCTGGTGTGCATAGAGGGGCTTAGAAGACTTGGGCAGGTAGGAGAGGTAGAGTCCTGGGAGTCTCCATGCTCAAAGAAAAGGATCTTGGAATTTTAGCTAATCACGAAGTTGACACGAGCCAACTGTGTGATACAGCTTCAGTCAAGTTGTCTTCACCACATTAACAGAAGAACAGCTTCCAGGTCGTGAGACGCAGTGACTCCACATTACACTGGGGATAACATCGCTAGAGGGTGTTAAGCAGACAAAAATGCCAGATAAACAAGAGCTGGAAGGATGTGGGAATCATGCTATGGGAAGGATATTTTTAGAGGATGTTAACCCAAGGGGAAAAAAGTAATAAAGCAGGACATTAAACAACTCTGTTTAGATCATGTAATTTACTGAGTACTTATTATGTGCCAGGAGTTAAGAGATTTATGTCTATTTACACATTTAATCTTTATATAACTCTTACGAAGTACGTGGTATTATCACCTCCATTTTACAGATGAGGAGATGGAGTCCAAGAAAAGTTAAAAAGAAATCTGTCTAAAGTCACACATCTACTAAATGGCAGAGCTAGGACTTGTGCCTTGCCATGGTTTCACAATCCACATGCTTAACAATTAAACTGTGGAAGATGAATTAGACTTATTCAGTGTGACCCCAGAAGGCAGAATAGGCCCAATGGATAGACATTACAGCAAAGTAGTTATCTACTTCATAAAGGAAGAAGTTTCTTACAGCCAGACTGTGCTGTGATGGAAAGAACTGACTCAGGAGGAAATGAGCTCCCAGTCAGTGGAAATATGTAAGCAGAAACTGGGTGATGACCAGTTATCAGGGATGCTGTAGAGGAGACTTCAACAGTCACAAGATCTTCTGAATAACGCTGCCACTCTTTCTGTGACTCTTTCAATGGAGTGTGTGATAAAAGAGAACAGGCTGGGGCAGAGAAAAGAAACAGAAAGAGGAAGGCCAAGGCCCCTAGATATGGGCTTTGGAGTCAAGGCTGGGCCTGAGCCCACCCTCAGCAAAGCAGAAAGCCCCTCAGGGTCAGATGTGAGGCGTTTGGCACAGCCAAGGGCGATGAAGACAGGCTGACCCCAGACTAGACACAGGGGAGGGAAATGCAGGGTGTCCTGGGCTCAGCAACATCCCTCCTGGTTAAGAGCAGGTCGTGGGAGTCCAGATGATAGAGGCCGGGAGCAAATGCCAAAGCAGATGGAGGAAGAGTTGCAGCATGAACTGGAAACTCATTTAATAAGATTTTCCAGGTTTCAGGGAGGAGTCGAGGAGGTGGTTCAAGCACAACCCATGGGGCAAAAGAGGGAAGGGGTCTAGCCAAGCAGATGGATGATACCTGGATAGTGAGAAGAAGGACTGTCTCAGGGTTCAGGATGAAGTTCTCTGATTTCTTCCTTCCATTTATAGCTGCTAAAGCTGCTGCCCCAGCCAAGTTTCACATCCCTGCAGGGTTCCTCCCAGTAGCTAGAAGGGGCTCTCCTGCTCTCCCAGACCTGGGGGCCTTGAACAGCAGCAAGAGCTGCTGGCTCTCTGTTCTCTGTTCCCACTGGAAACCTTGCCTGTTGCTCAGGCATTGGTGACATGTCTTCTACTCCATCCCTTCATCTACGGTGAGTAGCACCCTCCTGATCCCACAACATCTGATATTGGAGCAGCTGCTAAGGTGTCCACCTCCCTTGAGATTCACAGATGTCAGAGGGTAGAGACATTCCTTTTCATATTCATATCACCCCATCCCACTGCCAGATTCAACATCTTGCCCAC